AATTATTATTATTTATAATACTTTTTTGGTAATTTTGAAATGATATATGTTATTTTTTCTGTCCCAATATATGTGACCCGGATAGAATTTTGAGAGTCAACCTATTTTATTATATATCTTTTAAATATTAAATATTTTAAGTCAGTTGTAAATGATTTATTATATTATATTATTATATATTATATTATATATATATATATATATATATATATATTATATTTATTTCTACTATATAATAAAAGGGGTTTTATTATGATATTATATATTATATAAAATCCCTTTTATTATATAGTAGAAAAATAAATATACATTATATATATTATATAGTAGAAAAAATGATTTATTATATTATATATTATATAGGGAGTTTATGATGGGACACATAGAATGTCCCATGATAAACTCCCTCTTATATAATAATAGAATTACAATTACAAAATTAACCCTTTTAAAATGTCTTTAAGATATTTTAAGTTGTTAATTATTATTATTTATAATACTTTTTTGGTAATTTTAAAATGATATATGTTATTTTTTCTGTCCCAATATATGTGATCCAGATAGAATTTTAAGAGTGAACCTATTTTATTATATATCCTTTAAATATGAAATATTTTAAGTCATTTGTAAATGATTTTATATTATATTATTATATATTATATAAACTCCCTTATAGTAGAAAAATAAATATATATTATATAGTAGAAAAAATAATTTATTATATTATATATTATATATTATATAGGGAGTTTATGATTGGACATCACAATGTCCCATCATAAACTCCCTCTTATATAATAAGAGAATATGCGGATTAATTTAAATATTTCGAATGAATGGAACATTATGTGTATAAACAAAGGAATTAAAAATAAGCAAATATGTGAAGCTTCTAAAATTGTTCTAGTCATAATTTTCTTCAAAAGTAGATGGTACTCGCACGTGCTAGCACGGGTCCAACATCATAAAAGTCGATATTATAAAAAAAATCATTACCTTTGTTTAGATATTAAAATGACTGAAGAAATAGATACATAAATTTTGTCTTGGTATAAATTGATAGAGGGGATCAGATACATGCTTCATAATATTTATATTTTAACATTAAAAATATATAGTTGGAACTTGAAAAAGAATTCATAAGTAATTGTTAATGGAGGTGAGGTTATCAAATTCTGAGATATCAATATCAATTTATGTCGAATTGTTCCACATATAATCCCCCAAACCACATTTTAAACGTATAAGCAATGATAACTATTTCATAATATTTACAATCCTCACTATAATATTTATTATGATGAAAACGTTTGAAGTAATGTGTGTTGTTTGCGGCATCTAATTTTAGGAAAAGTATATGCTAATTAGTAGCTACCGAAACCAATAGGATGATTAATGTACCAAATTAATGAGGTGACCATTAAATTACTACAGTTAAGACACGTAAGTTTGTATAGATAATTGAAATGTCAAAACTATCCTGAATTTGAATTGAAATATTAAGAAGCAGACATGTTGATACCAATTGTTAAATTTGTGCTTCTATAATAGTAGAAGGAAAACAAAATTTCAAACTTTTTTCGCGTTTAGGTTGAAGTATATATATATATATATATATATATATTGATGTTTAATTATATAATAAGATAAATATAATATAATAATCACAAAAAATAAAGCGATTTAAATTTAAGACATAATTTTTTTTAAAAAATAATCTCTTTTTACAAGTTTTTTTTTTTTTTTTGCATATATTAACCTTACAGAATTACTTGATTATTTATGTGCAATTACTTGCAAAAAGTCGGCATGAAAATTCTATCTTCTGACTAAATTATTTTTAATAAAAAATATATTGCATTAAAATCCACATATAATCTATATGCGAATTAAAATATTGAGGAAATATTTACCATACGGAGATTTTTTTCATCAAATTTGTTGGTAGAATAATTCGTAGAAAATTAGATGACCTGCAATTTTTTTTATATAATTCCCATATAAATTTTGATGTAATGAATTTGATGAGTTAAATAGGTTTATGGTTAAGAAAATGAGTCTTTAATTTAGAGCATGTTTGACATTACTGCTAAAAACTATTTATTTTTAGAAATATTTTTTTAAAATGACTTTTTAGAAAAGTGTTTTTGAAAAAATAATAATTTGTATTTGGCAAATTGCATTTGGCTGATATTTTTTTATAAAAGGATTTTTGAGAGAAATTATAAAAAAGAAAAACTATTAATGTACTTCTAATATTAAAATTATTTTATAAAGAGAAACTATTTTGAATATCTATTATAAAAAAAAATTAAATTTGTTTTTTATTAAATTAAAACTTACATGGTTCAATCAATATTATACCTTTTTTGGGAGACTGACAAATTGCGTTTGACTGATCTTTTTTTAAAAAAAGGATTTTGAGAGAAATTATAAAAAAGAAAAACTATTAATGTACTTCTAATATTAAAATAATTTTATAGAGAGAAACTATTTTGAATATCTATTATAAGAAGATTAATTAAATTTTTATTTTTATTAAATTAAAATTTACATGGTTCAATCAATATTATAGTTTTTTGGAGATTGAAATATGTAATTGTTTTTCTTTTTACTAATCTTATAAGAGTATTGTTGTTACACTTTTTCTAATTCTACAAATAATACGTAAAATAATATCATATATAAAATAATAATATATGAATGTAAAATAAATTATAAAAATTATTATATTAAAATAAAAATAAATATTAAATGAAATTTAACCAAACTTATGAAATATGCTAATTAATTGATAAAAAATATATTGGTAAATATGTATACATGAAAATGATATTTTAGTCTTGAGAAAAATAATTTTTGTTTCTATTTCTGCTTTTTTTAAAAGTAAAACTTTTTAGCTTCTTTCCAACAATAGAAAAACAGTTTTTGCTTTCATTTAAAAACACTTTTATTGATTTGTCAAACACTTAATTTTTCAACAAATATATTTTTTTTTCTCAAAATAAATACTTCTGGCTTCCCAATAATAATGTCAAACAGACTCTTAATCACATAGCGTGCCAACTAGGAGAGAAGAACACTTTTGACATACTTTTTTAAAGGAAAATATGTATAGTTGAGTGTGTCTTGAAAGAAACAAAACTATATTTTATAGACAATTCTTTTTTTTTTTTATTTCTCATTCGTTGTCCGGTATCCATATTGAAGCTCGATTAAATTTAAATTTATACCAAAAAAGTGAAAATAAACAATTCCAAAATATGAGTGACTATAAAATATAAATAGCTCTTATCCTATAAGCTTAATTTTAATTTTATACTTTTTAAATTTTTACCTTATATAATTTTTTTACTTTATAAGTGGTGATCCAATTTTTTTTTTCTAGTTATCTATAAAAAGGGTACTCTTTTTTCTTTTCTCTCTTTTGTCCAAAGGAGTAGTCAATTGCTACAACAACAATCTTTGTATAGTTGTGTGGTTGTGGTACAAATAAACCATCTTGAGATTCCATTGCAAGAGGTAAAAAAAAAAAACTATTTCATTTTGTTGTTGGGAGAATATTTACAATTATTACAGCAACATTGGAATTTCAAGATTTGGATGTTGCCTTCTTTTCCACTTACCATATTTTTGTCCAAAATTTTGAGGATTTATAAGCTGCTGTAATCAATCTTTTTGACCCCAAACAACAAAGGCTGCAACTTTCATACTTTCTTCTTCTTTATCTTTATCTTGGCCAACATCCCATTTCAAAATTTCAGCTCAAAGTATGTATTTTCTTTCCTTTTCTTTCCCTTTCTTGATTTTGGATTTTGTTTGGTATATTCGAATATGCTTGTTGTTTTGATATGTATGTGGGGAATTTGCCTTTTGGGGTTTTCTTGAAAACAGTGAATTTGGGATTTTGAATCTTTATTAGTTTGAGATCTTTCTTTCTTTTTGAGGTTTTTATAGAAACAAGATAACCCCTTTTTTCTACATTTCTTGATTCTCAAAAGGGTCATTTTCTTGTTTCTATTTAGCCCCTTTTGGAGCTTATTTCTTATTTTTATCAAGAAAGTTTGTATTTTGATGCAACTGATTATGGTTTGAAGTTTGTTTTGTTTCTGGATTATAGTTTCTGAAGTGATAGAAGTTAAGCTATAGTTTAGCTTGCTGCATTTTGCTGGGATCTATTGATGATTAACTGTAATAAGGTTTAGGTAGTGGATCTTTCTCTCTCTGTCACAGACACCCAGACAAATGTCTTTTGGTCAATGAATGATTCAACATTTCTTTGTTTTTTAACCAGTCTTACCTTCTTTAATCATTTCCTTAAAGTATATGAATATAATAATTGACCACTTTAATTAAATGATGTTGTGCCTTGATTCTGTCCCCCTCCTCCTTGAACAAATAGCAGAACTGAATAAACAAACTTGTGTTTTTTGTTATTCCATTTCTGTTATCCTTATTGTCCCTTCCAAGATATACCTTCTAACTTTCCCTACTTGTAAAGGTCGAAAGTTCTCTTTTGAGAGCCTCTTTTGTTTAGCTTTCTTTCACTTAGATTATTGTAGTACTTTGCTGTAGTGACTGTTCTTTTTTTAGTATGCTTTCTTAAGCATTTTGTCGAGGCTTCTTCTCTCTCTCATTGTTTTCTTCTTTTTTTTCAAACTGCTTTTACTTGAGCCAAGGGTCTAGTAGAAACAACCTCTCTATCTCCTATGGTAGGGGTAAAGTCTGCGTAGACACTATCCTCCCCAAACTAGGTATGTTGTTGTTGGTGGTGGTGGAAAAAGCGATTATGATGGAAAGTTCCTTCAGGAATAAAATCCATCACTCATTCCATTGTCAAGCTGCAAGTTGGGTGTCTTTTTATGGTGCAGTTAGTCAAGTTGTGTTGGAATATCAATTTTATGATTATTTTTTTTGAATTTGGTCTTGGAACTCTGTGAGTGCACGAAATGAATGTAAAGATTCGTATTTTATGTTAGGAACTCAGATGTCTTACGGATGTTTTAATCATTGTGCAGTAAAAGTTCTTTAAGAAGGATTACGCCTGCACTTTTTAAAGGACTGTGCAAGTATCTCAGTAATGAATCAGGCAAAAATCAAGCGCAGAGTTGGTAAATATGAAATGGGAAGGACAATTGGTGAGGGAACATTTGCTAAAGTTAAATTTGCGAGGAATTCGGAGACAGGAGAACCTGTAGCGATCAAAATTCTTGACAAGGATAAGGTCCTTAAGCACAAAATGGCTGAGCAGGTCAATCTTCAAAATCTCCATTTGCTATGATTTCTGGAACTTTCATATATTTTCTATTGTCTGGACTCTGGTGTTACGCTTACGAGTTATTTTGGTAACGTAGATTACAGAAAAGCTATGTGAATTATGTCTCTTTGACATCTCACATGGTTGTTGAGTTGTGCATTTCTTATTGTTGTACGGTTTTAAGTTTCTTGTATGTTGTTTTTGTTTTGTTGATAACTTCTTATAACTCTTGTTCATAAATTGACAGATAAAACGGGAGATAGCTACAATGAAGTTAATCAGGCATCCACATGTTGTTCAGTTATACGAGGTTTGTCCTCTCTCTATGTCAATGTGTATGTATTTGTGTGTTGTGTTTGACTGTAAATTCCGGTGATTGTGGTTTTCTGTATGCCTTTGTGATCATATGGATGTGTATACTGATCGTACAGCACTGATATACGTACCACCAACCTGTAGGTTAAATAGTAAGCGACCCGTTGATTTGCATTTGGTTATGCATCATGGGTTGCCAGCAGGTATCTCCATTCTAGAAATGATGCATTGAAGATCTCACTTCAAATCTTCACCTCAACAATCTTTCTGAAAGACGTCTTTAATTCACACTACCAAAGGGATAATTTGATCAGCGCTAAATAAAAGCTTAAGCATTCTGCAGAGAATTCATAACTTACCTTAGGACAAGACAAAGTCTATTGTACAGAACAAACTAATTGATTTATTAGTACCGTTAGCTAGAATCAATGTGGTCTCACTCAGTTTTTCATGTGTCCTTTCCAAATTGAGCAGATTCAACTTCATTCAAGGTGTTTGGAGCAAAGATTAAATGTATTCTGTAGCCGAGCTTCTCCTGTGCCTATCTTGTTGAACAAACATTTTTGCTTATGCTAGATTTTAGTACCTACCTTTTTAAAGCTTTTGTTGTATTTTGATGGTCTTGCCTTACATATTACTAATAATTTGTTCTGCATATTATTTGTTCAGTTATTTATTCTATAGATCTAGTCTTATAATTAAAATTCCAGCAGCACATCAGCATTTAACCTACTGAAGTTGGTGAGAGTAAAGGCAGATTCTGGCCTTTTAACATAACCCTATATTGACATGCAGATATTTTGCTGGTATCCATAAACTGCAGTGGAATTGGCTAATATACTGGAGTAGTTAGTTAATCTTCTTGATCTACTCATGGTACTTCCCAAATTTTTGAGAGTTAAACTCTGTTTGAGATACATCATCAAAATCTTGAAAAATCAAAGAACTAGAAAAGCTTAAGTTAAAATTTCTGGAATTGCGAGTGCCCAATTTGGGGAAAGTAAATGTTCCGAATTTTCTAAAGACCTTTTGGGATGTCATACACTAAATGCTTGCCTAGTACATTATATCTGTTATCGAACAACTTATGTTTTGAATATTTTGTATGTTGGAGTTTTAACTTATATTTGCGATAACCTACTATAGATAAGATGTGATTGTGGATTATGGTAATTGCCAGGCTTCATATGCTACACTTCTGAATCCATGTTCTTCTCGTCTGTCCGCAGGTGTTGGCTAGCAAGACAAAGATATTCATTGTTCTGGAGTTCGTTACAGGTGGAGAGCTCTTTGACAAAATTGTAAGGATGATTCTTCCTTTCTTCTAGTTTATTCGGTTCCCCTACCTTAGGAGATAAAGAATTTGACCAAAGAGCACGAACTTGTACCTCATTGATTGCAAACTTAGGTTTCATGTGTCCTTCCGAAGCTATTCAAACCTATTTGCCACTAACATGTTTTCGGACGACTTAGCATGTCATTAAGATGTTTATCTGTTTTATTGGCATACAGGTAAATCATGGACGGATGCATGAAAAAGAAGCAAGGAAATATTTTCAGCAGCTTATTAATGCTGTTGATTACTGTCATAGCAGGGGAGTCTACCATAGAGATTTAAAGGTGGTGCCGTGCTACTTTTGCAGCCTTTTAGTTGTTAATTTCTGTTCTATTTTGTCTTAAAGCTCCCAGCTTTGTCTTACCTTTATTTTGGTATGCTTTTTCATTATGCAGCCTGAGAATTTACTGTTGGATGCCTCAGGAAACCTCAAGGTTTCTGATTTTGGATTGAGTGCTCTGTCCCAGCAAGTCAGGGTAACTGTCTGATTATGCATATGCATTCTCAAACTCTTTACATATGTCTCCAATGTTTGATATGACTTTTGCTTTGTTGCTGTCAAAATTAATGCAGTGAATCTTCAATTGTGTAACCTACTAGTAGATTGTGTATCAATGTCTAATGTCTTAAGTCTTAACATCCTTTACTGATTGCCTTGAGTACATTTTCTTGTTTGAGAAATGTGGTAGTGATAACCCCCCCCTCCCCCGGTGAAACTACAGATCTCCATGGAAATCCCCATATCAGAGACAAACTAGTGGGGGAGTTTTTAAATACACAAATCGGATAATTGTCACTTTAGAAACAAGCCAGTATAATTTTTACTGAAATCCATTTGTGCTTCTTCCTTTTGTAAACTAGTTTAAATATCATTTGGAATTGATTCAATCTTGTTATTAGAATATTCAGATTCAACTGAATATACTGTTTTAAAGTTTGGTAAACTTTGTGGAAGCAACTATGCGTGGGGCTTGGGACAATGTCATTAAATTTGTGATTGACTGCTGATTAGTTATTTGCTTTAAACTGATCTGAAAATTATTTGACAATGACTTCCTTTTTCCGTTTTAGCTAGAGAACTCATGCTAGTTTCAAGCAGCAGTAGTCCTGCAATATATTTCTTTCACTTAGGTGATAGTTAACATTCTTTTCGCAATCAGATATATTTCTTACTCTAGTGCAATTTTCCAGGATGATGGCTTACTCCACACCACATGTGGAACTCCCAACTATGTTGCTCCTGAGGTATGATGAAATTCGTTTCAACAACTTCTTCTTTTTGTTCATTTCTCACAGAGAAAAAATAAGGTCTCCCTGCCATGTGCACTCTTTTTATCTTATTTTTCTCTTGGTTTTAAAAAATGAGATTCATTTCTCTTAGGTACTCAATGATCATGGATATGATGGTACAACCGCGGATCTGTGGTCGTGCGGAGTCATACTCTTTGTATTGCTTGCAGGTTACTTGCCTTTTGATGACTCCAATCTTATGAACCTGTATAAAAAAGTGAGCATTCTTCCAAATTCATTATGGAATCAATCTGCTTTTGTTTTTCCTATTAGTTTCATGATGTCATCACGGTCTTTGCAGATCTCTGCTGCTGAATTTACATGTCCTCCTTGGATGTCTTTTGGTGCTATGAAGTTAATTACTCGCATCTTGGATCCGAACCCTATGACAGTAAGCATACTGGATTTCTGAATACAATTGTGTCATTTTAGCTTGCAACTAAATAGACATCTTTTCTCTTATTTTATTATTGCACGTGTTTACTATGCAGCGTATCACCATCCCAGAAATTCTGGAGGACGAGTGGTTCAAGAAAGATTATAAATCTCCCATTTTTAATGAGAAAGGAGATGCCAACCTGGATGATGTTGAAGCTGTCTTCAAGGATTCTGAAGTGAGCGCACTGAAATGTTGAACAAGTTTTGCATTGAATTCAGAGAAAAGAATTGTTGTATAAAGTCATCCTCATGTGGTTCTCTTTTCCTTGACACAACAACAGGAACATCATGTAACAGAGAAAAAGGAAGAGCAGCCAACTCCCATGAATGCATTTGAGTTGATTTCAATGTCAAAAGGACTCAACCTTGGGAATCTCTTCGATGAACAGGTTACCGACTATGAACTTCCATTTTTATCTGTTACTTTTGTTGCATGTTTTGGAACTTCTGTTTGATTTGGCATGGTGTTTGTGCCTTGAATTACGTCGTGTATAATTATACTTCTCAGTAGGACATGCTTTAATGAAGTTCATGTGAATGTCAAAAAACTTAATGCTCACTTGGTAATCATTGGATAATTCTTTGTTCATTCCCAAACCCTCTACAGCCTACTCTAATATCAATCCCCAAAACTTAACAATGGGAAAGAAGTAAAGAATCTATGATGTGTAGTAAGACTAGTTTCTTTGCATTTACATAAAATAATAGATGTCTTCTAGCAGACATGAGCCTGAATGCCCTGAGTTGAGCTAACCTGCTAAATTCATCAAGTTTAGCTGTTAAATAACTGCTAGATGCTTCAAAACGCTGCGGCAATATTACATGCATACACAAACTAACTTCCATCTCTTTCTCCTGTGTGTTGAATTCCGTTATCCATTTTGCAGAAGGCTTGTAAATTATTATTCAGAATTATGAGTGAGGATGCAAATACACTAATTAAAAAACGAAAAACTGTAAAAGGACTAATTACAGAAAAATGAATTCCTAAGTTCATTTTACTCCCTGTCTGAATAAAACTGACCTTTCTTTGTTACTCTACTCAAAAAACTTGGTCTCTTTTCCCGAATGACCATTTTTCCCTCCAACAATTCAAATCAATATAAATTGGTATTCCACCTTGTCGGAAATATTGATGATTTGTGTATTGCTATAATCTTACTTCATTGACAGATGTTTTGATTCCAACATTCACAGGGATTTAAGAGAGAAACAAGGTTCACATCTAAATGCTCGGCCAATGAAATTATCAGTAAGATTGAAGAAGCTGCGAAGCCCCTCGGTTTTGATGTTCACAAAAAGAACTACAAGGTGGTGATGTATTTCAAGTATGCATAATCAATTGACATGTAGATTCCTAATAAAGTAAATTAATTGGCATTCTACTCTTTTACTTCAGATGAGACTTGAAAATGTCAAAGCTGGAAGAAAAGGGAACCTTAATGTTGCCACTGAGGTATGTTCAATGTGCATAGTTAGTCATCTACAATTATCTTATTTTACTATTACCGTATTCTGTGTTGAGGATTGCCATAAGTACTTTGGAATTTGAATCTCTTATCATCATAGGCTGAACACTGTTTGGTCTTGAATGTAGGTATTTCAAGTTGCCCCTTCTCTTCATATGGTTGAAGTGCGGAAGGCAAAAGGAGATACTTTGGAATTCCACAAGGTACCATATTCAGCTAACTGCTGAAAAAGTTATCTAAATCACTATTAGTAGGTTTTGATAGGCAAAAGCCTTGCACAATCCACAAGCTAATTGCTCGTGAATGAGCAACATAATCTTGAAGTTAATGTTTGCCACAAGATAGCAACAAAGAATTAAGAGGTTGTATGTATGCATGTTTTAAGATTAGGGAGAGAAGTTCAAGTCACTCCTTGGAAATGACCATAACATTACTACTCTGTCCCTCAAAACATAGATGGTTTGATCTTACTTACAGGGTCCACTTTAGAGCCTTGGAACGGTGATACATTTTGTAGTCTTCCTCGGCGTTTGTTTCCTGATATCAGCTGGTAACCTCTATGTCATAACGGACAACATGACTTTTCTGTGTCTGTAATAGGAATTAAAACCTGTGTGCCTCATACTGGAGAGACAACTCACCAGATAAAAGAAAATCATGCTTGTGTGAGCGGATGGAAGAACTAATGGATGTTTAGTTAGCTAAATAAAGATCACGCTTATGTCATTACTAGCTGCTTACTTATTTTCTACTTCATAAATTCCAAAAGGCATAGGTTTTTGCTTTGTTTTGTATACCGGAAATGCATTAATACCTCGTTAATTTTTAGATCCTATTAGTTTTTGTGACCTCTTCGAGCTAACAATCAATCCTGTTATACATCCTTGATGCAGTTTTACAAGAATCTTTCGACTAGTCTAGAGGATGTAGTGTGGAAAACTGAAGAGGACATGCAAGATAGGTAGTATTACTACCATGAACTGCAATTGCATAAGCTTTTGCTGGTGCTACAATCTGTGTAAAAAAACTTTGCAACTTCTTTCTTTCCCTTTTTGTTATTTGGTCTGTTCTTTGTAGTGGGACTTATTTCTCCCATGAGCTAATGGCCAACTGTTTCATTTCATCATGGAGTAGGACTTTTGTTCCTATTTGATTTGCAGTTTGTATAACTGGTATACACTTTTGAGAAATGTATACAACTTTTCAGCTCCCTCAAGAAAAAAACATCCACTAAGGAGGAATTATCCTTTTCCTTGTCTCATTTACAGTTAAAATAATTGCCACTTATATACTTATTTTAATTTTAATAATTGCCATGTCTGAATGAAGGTGACCCATATACATATATATATATATATAATCTTAACTCAGAATAATGTACACTTTATCGGATTCATGAATTCTTAATTAGATACATGTATACCTAAACAATACATATTTTGTCCACCGTCTCTCCTCATCTCTCATTCGCCTCTCTCTACTCTATGGCTAGAGACTAGGGCTACCTCGTTGCTCGTCTCCTCACCACCATGAAACCACCGTCTCTGGTGAATGATTCACACCACCATGAATCTATCAAAAATAGACTTGAAAAATTTTGTTGAATCCACGACTTCAGCTTCAAGAGATAAATAAAGTTTTTCATCACAAAATTAGAAAGAAAAGATTCTTATTTCACCCAATAGTGGAGTGTGTTGTACCTCTATCAACAATACTCTTGGTTGAAAAATCTTTAGCAATAGTAAATTAAGAAAAATCAAAATCAATGATTTGATTGAAACGGATCGGAATGAGTGGACTGATTTGAAATGGAGTAAATTATGAAGATAATTAAGTGGGTTAGAGCTTTGCTTTAGATTAATTTTAAGAAATGATATATCTCAATGTATCTAACTCTAACTTTGTACATAATTATTAAATAATAAATAATAAATAATTATTAAAAACTATAAACGACATCAGTAGATATAATAATATGTCTAATTATATAATTTTTCCATAAAATTGACCACTCTGGCAAGGTTTGTAGGCAAATTTTCACCTCACCATTTCAACTTAAAAACTTATAAATATATGAAATCACATAAATCTACATAAGGTATAATAATATTGGTGTGAGATAAATTTAAAATAAAAATTGTTGATAGAAAATTATATTAATGTAAACCAAGAGGGAGCCCACTTTCTGTGTTTTCAAAACTTTATAAACCGCCAAAGCAGTTTTCAAACCAAGTTGTCTTCCAAAATCCTCAACTTTTTATTGTACGCGGAATAAGATAAGTAAAAATATTTTATAAGTTAGGATATTTTTTAAGATTATTTTATTTCACCTTAAATAATTTGAAATTAGTTAGTGTCTCAAATCAAACGAGTAATAAAGTTAATTTAAAATTTTATTTAAAAAATTATTATTCTTATCTCACGTATCAAACAATGTCGGATTTGACAATATTTTATAAAATTTGATAATATTTTATAAACTATTGTCAAAATTAGACAACACCAATCAAATGAAGGAACTAGAAATGTCCCGGTTCAATTGCTCTTGGCCCCGGTCAACGTTTGATTCTAATGCCTATTATCAATAGCCACCACTCCACCCCATATTAGGGATGGCAATGGGGTGGGGCGGTTGCGGGGCGGGGCAAGTCTAAATCTATGTGGGGCAGGGTAGGTTTAGCCTTATGTGGGGCACGGCACGGCAGGGCGGGGCGGGGCGGGTTGAAATAATTTTTTTAAGAAATTAAGCAGGGTGGGGCGGGTGGCGGGTTGAAATATTTTTCTCTCACTTTTCTAATTTAATCTCTCTCTACTTTCATCTCAGATTGTAAGAGATGAAGCTCTTAAACTGTTAGTTTGTCACTGTCTTTCACTTTTTCTCTAAGGTTTTAAAAAGAGTACCATTTTATAATCAAATTTTTTAATGGGTTTTAGGTCTGATGGACTCTTATACTTGTATGCATTTGTATTCTAAACCCTCCTACTTAACATTTTGTCAACTAAATCCTTAAACTCATTAAAACACAATATTTTAAACTTTTTTCTCATCAGATCACCGTGTGTAATCCAACCTCTTACATGTGAAATTCCATGTCACACCTAAGAAATTAAATATTAAGAAAATTAAAAAAAAAAACAAATATTTAACTTTTGGAAATTTTTTAATTGCCATGTTCTTCAACCTCCATATATGTTCACAATTTGAGCACCAAATTCATGACAAATAGATGAATTTTTTCTTTATTTGACTTGAAATTTCAACTAGAAGTTCATAAACACAAAATCTACTAGCCACAATCACAAATTTGAATTAATTTTACAAATTCATAAGATTCATTTGATGTTCTTCTAGTTTTCTCAAACTTATCAATGGAGTTTTCAACTTTTTCAATACCCACCATCACTCTTTACGTTAAATCATATCATATCTTCTCTTTAAATCAACACAAATAATGATTTCAACTTTTAAAATAAAAAACATTAAAAATTTAGATAAATGGGGCTGAAAAAAGAAATTAGGTGCGGGGTTTGATTTGTTGCAAAAAGGAGAGTGGATTGAAGAAGAAGAAAAAAAAAGTTTATGACAAGTAATTTTGAAGAAAAAAAAAAGAATGGATGTGGTGGGTAATTTTATTGAAGAAGAAGAGAAGAAAGTTTAGGATTATGGGTGGAAAGAGTGGTGGAAAAGAATGAGAAATTGGGTGGGAGAGGGTTAATGAAAAAATATATATTTTTAATTAAAAATATATTGTTTTCCAAAAAATATTTATTTTTAAATAGAAAATAGTGTAGTGACGCATTTGAAAAAGAGTGCATTTACACATTTTTCCAACTCAGCAATATTTATGTCACATAGGTTTAGTCAATGGTCAGAGTAATTTCAAATATTGTGTTTTAATAAGTTTAAGGGTCTAGTTAACAAAGTATAAAGTAAGAGGGTTCAGAATACAAATTCATACAAGTATAAGATTCTATCAGACCATTTCGCCAAAGTTTTAATCAACGAAACATGATATAATTGAAAAATATTTCCCTGCATGCCCTTTATGAGGTAGGGTCTGAAGAAAGAAAGATATAGACAGATCATTCCCCCTACCTTTGTGAGGCAAAGAGATAAAAGTAGGGTCAGAAGAAAGTAAGATACAAGCATATCGTTCTCTCTACCCTTGTGAGGCAGAGAGGCCAGTACCAAGACATGGAATACTAGTAATTTTTAGCTGTACATTTAACATATGTACATTGAATATATTACACTCAAGCACTATAGTACTTCCTCCTCTCTATCCCCACCACTAAAATAAGAAGGGAGGAAACAACAAACAAATAAAAAAGAAAGAGACAACATATATATATCTTCCTAATAATATGGTAGAATGTGTTTGTTACATCTTATCTTGAATGTGTCACATATCTCTTTTGAGGATGACATATCTTGTCATTTGGTGCATTATAATTTGCTTGTGGTGGTGAAGTTCTAGAACTGTCCTTTGGTGTTGGCAAAAGCTCTAATGTGGCTAACACCTCTTTCATTGTTGGTCTAAGTTTTGGATCTACATGGAGGCATCGTAAGGCGAGGGCCGCTGCAGCTTGTGCACCTTTCTTGGAGTACTGCCCTCCCAACCTTGTATCCATGATTCTCAGTACTCGTCTGCTGTCGCTTAGGAAAGGTCTTGCCCATTCTACCAACGTTTCCTCCGCGCCCCCTGGATTCTCCTCACCTGTAGCTCGTTTTCCCGATAGCAACTCCAATAGAACAACACCGAAACTATAAACATCGTTCTTTGGAGTCAAATGACCTGTTACGAATGATTGAGGGTTGATTTGAGATAACATATACAAGTTCCAGACTGTTCAGCATGGCTAAAAGTCCGAGTAATAGTAATCACATGGCGAATAGTTGACAAACAGATTGGAATGTACCTGTTGCGACATATTCTGGTGCAGCATAACCCCGAGTTCCTATTACCCTGGTTGAAACATGAGTTCTATCTCCATCAGGACCATCTCGTGCGAGGCCAAAGTCTGATAGTTTTGCATTAAACTCCTGCAGATGTTCAATGAAAAGGTTTATTTGTGACCTTAACGCTGGTTGTGTGATTGAGAGCAACAGTTTGTTTACGCTAATCAATATCTCAGAGTTAGAGATTGTACCGAATCAAGTAGAATGTTGGAAGCTTTGAGGTCCCGGTAGATCACATTAGCATCCAGACTATGTAAAAAGGATAACCCTCGTGCAACATCAACTGCAATACGCATCCGTTTACCCCAAGTCATAAGCTGAACTCCTTCTGCACAACAATTGAAACATCATTAGTCTTGATCAGCAACTTTCTGAAAAAACATATTATGCACTAATTTCAAACGCAACATGCTATTTTCCACAAGAAACAATAGAATTATAATCGACGAGCAGAAATGCTTAGAAATAGATTTTTAACTCCAGCACTAGATTGAGTAAACTTTGTTTGTACAAACATTTGGTGAAATGAACAGCTTCCTTCAGAAGGTCAAACAAAAGATCATTCAATTGCATCATCGATTATCTTACTGAAAGCTAATACCACAATTTTGGAATATTAGATTATCGATGCTTGAGAAAATGTCCTGCACCACTACACTAATAAAGTGTACCAAATCCTACCTAGGTGACAAGAACAATGAAGAATTATAGGAATTCTGCAAATGAAGAGATTGACTCACTTCTGAATAGATGATTTTCCAAGCTTCCTTTGGTCATAAACTCGTATACTAGAAGCCGGTTATCAGATTCTACGCAATATCCAATCAACGTCACAAGATTTTTGTGGTGAAGCTGCCCTAAGTAGTTAACCTCTGCCTGCAGGTTTGATGAGGGACACAAAGTTATTACTTAGAACAAGTAAAGATATATTTGACATTTTCCGAAGGATTATGATGAACATACAAGCCATTCTCTGTGGCCCTGGCAGCTTTCTGACTTAAGTTTCTTGACAGCCACTACCATCCCAGTTCCTGATTTGCAGGGAGCAAGTGTATTTTCATCTAGCCATCCTTTGAAGACATATCCAAATCCTCCCTCACCGAGAAGACTATCAGCTCGAAAATTCCTAGTCGCATTTTTGAGGTCATTGAAGGTAAAGGACTTGAGATTGCAAGTGGCTGATAGATCACCTTTACAAGACTTGAGAGCATTTCCTGAACTTCCCTGAAGTGTCTGGCTACAAGAATGACTTGACTCCTTTCTCTCACTGCCAGGGCCTGTTCTAGAATCTGAAATAGCTACTGTGAATAAGTAAGCGGATAGGAAACAGAACTCATATTGCAAAATATGAAAAACTAAGTAATATTCAATACAAAAGACGAACAAGTCATGGCACAAGACATATATGCTTTCACACAATGTTATGAATCTTATACATGCCAGCTATGTTGCTCGGACTCTTCAAAAATGTCAACGGGTGCGTGTTGGATTCTCCAAAAATAGTGCATTTTTGGAGAAACCGACACTGATGCAGCAAGAAAGTGAAGAGTCCGCGCAACTTAGCATGCCAGTGCTTCTATTTGATAGACCAGGTCAGTTGAAAATGAGCAGCTAACAAGGGTCAGTATGATTCAGGAGAAGCAATTGTAAAACACCAAAGAGCAAGATGACTTTGAAGAGTGTAAAGGAACTACATTACTTAAGTAATTCCTTTGCCATAACATATACTCTCTCTGTTTCAAATTGTTTGTCTGGTTTTGGCTTAACACAGAGTTAAAGAAAGTAAACAAGACTTTTGAATCTTGTGCTTTTAAACTAAAGACATGCAAAATCTACCAAAATGTCTTTTAATCTTGTGACCTTAAACATGTCATATTGAAAGCTGTAATTAAAGAATTGTCAAAAAAGGAAAGAGGCATTCTTTCTGAAATATACTAAAAGGAAAGTAAGACAAACAAATTGAAACGGAAGAAGTAATTGCTCTCAAAGAGATGCAATAAGTAAATTCGTGAGAATAATTTATGACAGACAACGAGTCTACTTCAACAACAACAAACTAACCAAGAACAGATTCCAGCCCCCTCCCCCCCCCCCCCCCCTCTTCACAACCTCAAGTTCTATATTTGTGTATCTTGTTTCATGATTAATCCTTTCTCATATATTTGGTTGACATTATTTCTCAGATATCTTAACATGATGTTCAATTGGTCTGTACTTCTTGAAAAAATATTATTCAAATGATTGGATAACACAAAGTTTTAAAGAAGGAACCACATTGGTAATTTTCTTTTAAGCCAACTAAAAAATTCAGACATCTAAAAGATGATGGAATTGCATCAAAGGGTGTGGCCTAGAGTGGTTAAGAGCCCTGAGGTCTCACATTCAAATCCCAACAGAAACAAAAAAACCACAGGTGATTCTTCTCATCTGGACAAAGTTACCTCGTATCTGTTCTTGGCATATGGAATCCTATAAGAACACTAAAATCACCATACATCAAATTGGGCAGTTGAGCAAAATTCTTTCACTCAAATAAAACTTTAAGACTAGTCAAAATGAGAACTTGAACTCAATGCTGCTCGGTGCACAAGGCATCCTGTGTTGGCGTGACGCAGACAGTCTACCTGAAACAAACATTAGTTGGTTGTCGAACCCCTAACCTATAAGTCATACATACTCCTAAACAAGAGTAAAATCAAGCTAAACACGACATAAAAATAGAATCTTGGAAACAAAAGCACATAAAAAAGTGAAAAGAGAATGTGGGAATTCATACCAGACATCAAACTAGAAGAGGCATGAGCAAGCTTAACAGGTTTACCAAAGCAAATCCCCATATTAAACAAAGAAAAATCAAGATTCTTGTTGAAAAATTAAAAAAAATCAAGAAAGGGTAGAACAGAAAGAGGAGAAAAGGGATAGTAGAATAATAAAGAAGTGAAGTCATTGACATTTTGGTTTATGTTTAGGAGGGAAGAGAGGGAAGGGGGCAGCCCCCTTTTGGTCTTCAGTCAAGAATGTCTATTGAAAATGTTGTCACATAGCTATGGTTACCTTAGACATATGTGGGGCATAGCCACTATGTCAAGTAATTAATTTTGTCACCACTAATTTTGACTAATCAAACCCATCATATCTTGCTATTTTCAACTAGTTGACCAAACACCCATCACTTCTTCACCAAAAATAATTAATTTGAAAAGTACTTTAAATGAGAAGATTTGACCAACAATTTTAAAAATAAAAAATAAAAATTGGGTAATAATTAATGTTTGATTAACCTTTCTGAAACTGTTTTTAAGTGTATTTCATGAAAAATTAATTTTTTTTAGCTTTTCAAAGATAACTTTTGTTACTCTCCAAAAACACTTATTTTCTCCTAAAAGCTTGGTCAAACACCTCAGTCTTTAATATAAATACTTTTGGGGAAAATAAACTCGGTCAAACAGGTTATATTCTCAAATTAAAGATATACTCATTAAATATATTTTCATCTTGTGATTTTAAATATTTAAATGGAAATATGCATTCTTTCTTTTTTAACAGACTAAAAATAAAAGTAACAAGATATTTCTTTTTTGGGGAAACTAAGCAAATACCTCATACAAGCAAAAAAATTACAAACATATACTCATTTACATTCATACGCCCACTAAATAATTACACTATATACCCCCAACTAATTTTGTTTATCTGATACTAAATCAGTATCATATGTTGTATTGGTATCATTAAGACTGATAATTTCACGTAATTGATATTAAATCGGTATATATATGTTGTATTGGTATCAGTTAAGCGAAATTATCAACCTCAATGATACCAATACAATATATAATACTGATTTAGTATTAGTTAAGTGAAAATTATCAGCCTTAATGAATGAGGGGTATGAGTTGTAAATTTTTTTGAGAGAATGGATATTTCTTGAATTACTTTAAATTAGGGTATGAACATATAATTATTTTAAGTTTTATGGCCCATTTATGTAGTTTTTTTTAAGTTTGATAACTCTCTTATTTTAATATTCTGCTTGACTTATTAAACAACATATGATTTTAAAAACATTTCAAAATATTCAATATATATATTTATCTTTAAACTATAGTTTTTTTTTAAAAAAAAAATCTTTATTTTCTTAAATTTAATGTCTAATTAAACTATGACATCTATATTCAAACAAGCAAAATATGTGTTCTTATAAGATTAAATAATTTAATTTAATATAACACCAAAAAAATAGAATAGTTTTATTGTAAGTTAACTTTTCCCAAAATTAGGAAAGCATAAGTTCCAAGCAACAAACATTTCAGAAAATTTTCAATCCATTATTGTGCCTTCCAAGCACATTCTTAAAAAGGAAAAATTGAAAACTTGGAAAACAATCATGTTTTGAAGGATTTTTATTTCAAAAGGTGACTTTTACTATAATAGGGAGAAAGAACAGACAAAGTTGAATCACAACCCAACCATATTTGTAAATTTTATAATGTGTTCACATAAATAAAATACAGACAACTAAGCTAGAAAAGTCCTCCTATAAAGAGCCTACAAATTGAAGATGTTATGATATTATGGTGTCAATTTCCAAAATGGTCATTCAAGTTAAAGGGAATTGACTCTAAATATCACTTTTGTATTATTTAGGATAAAAATATCACTCAATTATCATTATTTTTCTTCGAATATACAGAACATTTCAAAAGCATCATCCTTTCCTAGTTGGCATGTCAAAATCCGAATATATATATATATATATATATATATATATATATATATATATATATAAAAAATCCTCTTGTAATATTTATCTAAAAAAACCTCTTGTAATATATATCTAAAAAACCCTCTTGTAATATTTATCTAAAAAAACCTCTTGTAAAAACAAACCTTTTACACACTAAATATTACAAGAGGGTTTTTTAGATAAACACGTATGTATAATATATATATATACCCTCTTGTAATATTTAGTGTGTAAAAGGTTTGTTTTTAAGTGTGTAAGGGTCAATCGGGGTTCCCGAAAGGGAAACCTCTCTCCGTCTAAATCATGTAAGTCTCTTATGTTTTCCTGTATTTTTCCCTAAAAATAATTATGTAAATTATGTTTGTACGTATTCAAGTTATATTAATATGTTTGTATTTTGTATTTAAGTTATGGTAAAAATTATCCTTAGTATATGGTTAGGCTTTTAATTTCTTGATAACAACGATGGATTAACCTGTAAATTCCTAGGATGTTTTAAAGGTCTTAAAAAGTTCGTAGAAATCACAGGACGTCTTGTTGGCCATCTCCGGGGTGGGGTTAAAGAAGAAATTATTAAGAATACATGTTAAAAGAAAGAGATGAACGGGGTAGTAACTTCAAAAAAAAAGAAAAAAAAAGGGAAAAAACAGGATAAATACTTGAGATAAACACGATAAGACACCAAGTGAGAGAGGGAGTACTGAGTAGGATTTACAAAAATCTGAATTTCTGCTATTCTGTTAAAATTTACAAAAATTTAAATTTCTGCTATTCTGTTAAAGTTCTGTTAAATTATCTGTTAAATCTGTTAAATTGTTAAATTATCTGTTAAATTTGGTATCAGAGCGAGAAATTTAACAGAATAATTTAACAATTTAACAGATAATTTAACAGAACTTTAACAGAATAGCAGAAATTCAGATTTTTGTAAATTTTAACAGAAAAGCAGAAATTCAGCTTTTTGTAAATTTTAACAGAAAAGCAGAAATTCAGATTTTTGTAAATCCTACTCAGTACTCCCTCTCTCACTTGGTGTCTTATCGTGTTTATCTCAAGTATTTATCCTGTTTTTTCCTTCTTCTTTTTTTAAGTTACTACCCTGTTCATCTCTTTCTTTTAATATTCTGTATTTCTTTTTAGGATAAATTCTTAAGTCTAAGTATTCTAATTGTTTTAATGGATCTATAGTTGTTATTTTAGCCTAGCGGGATATCTATTTTACTAATATTTTTCCTCTGAAATTTTATTCTATTATTTGCGGATTGGATATCACTATCGATGCTATGTAATTCCCACTTTAGAGCACTTAACAATTCTGGGTTGACTAGTGTAGGTCTATTTAATGAGTATATGCTTCCATGATTACAAAGTCTATCTACTAAGTCTCTTGTTTCTAGTACTTTTAAATATAAGCTTAATGCCTATTTTAATTTTAACCACTCTGATTTTATTTGTATTTCTCTGTATAAATATCAATATCTTAGTCGTAGTTGGTTAGCAAAAGGGTGTTTTTTCATATATTATCTCTGTCTTGATTTTAACTGTGTAATGAATTTATATTCTAGTCTAGATATTATTTCTATTAGATAATCTAACCTTATATTGTTTTCTTTAGTACTATTTAGTCTCTTATATTCTAAGTATAAGCTTTCCAACTTTCTTTTTGTTTCTAAATGTATCTGAGTACTATGTAGAGGTCTTCTCATTAAATGTTACTTCCCAAAAACTTCTCGCTCTGATACCAAATTTAACAGATAATTTAACAATTTAACAGAACTTTAACAGAATAGCAGAAATTAGGATTTTTGTAAATCCTACTCAGTACTCCCTCTCTCACTTGGTGTCTTATCGTGTTTATCTCAAGTATTTATCCTGTTTTTTCCTTCTTCTTTTTTTAAGATACTACCCCGTTCATCTCTTTCTTTTAACCTGTATTCTTAATAACTTCTTCTTTAACCCCACCCCGGAGATGGCCAACAAGACGTCCTGTGATTTCTACGGACTTTTTAAGGCCTTTAAAACATCCTAGGAATTTACAGGTTAATCCATCGTTGTTATCAAGAAGTTAAAAGCCTAACCATATACTAAGGGTAGTTTTTAACATAACTTAAATACAAAATACAAACATATTAAGATAACTTGAATACATACAAACATAATTTACATAATTATTTTTAGGGAAAAATACAGGAAAACATAAGAGACTTACATGATTTAGACGGAGAGAGGTTTTCCTTTCGGGAACCCCGACTGATCCTTACACACTTAAAAACGAACCTTTTACACACTAAATATTACAAGAGGGTTTTTTAGGGATATTTGGATTGGATAGTGGAGAGGATTTCGGGGAACATTGGCAAGGGGAATATGTTGTGTGTTTTTTCTTTGGTTTTTTAAATATTATATATATATATATATATATATATATATATATATATATTAGTTTATTAAGAAGAAATTATCATACTTAAGGATCTTTTATCATAATTAATTTTTTAACTTTTTTATGCTATGAAAAATATCTTTTTAAAATTTAATATAATGCCATCAATTTTTAAGATTGATATACAAATCACTCATAACTCTACTTTCATTAATTAGTCATTTATTAGATAATGGATCAATAATATTAAAATTAACTATTAAAAAGAAATTAATTGTGTACTTTGAAATTCATACAAAAAAAAAATTGAAAATAAAATAGAAAGTAAATAATATTTATATTAGATAATAAAAGTTTGATCTTTATTAAAGTGCATATTATTTTCCTATAATGTGTTGATTATTGAATTAAAATAAACATTCAATTAATTATTACTTGTGATTCCTCTATTTGGGATGAGATGAAAATATATATTAGTGTTTAATTGTATGATAATATAAAATATAATATAATATAATAGTCATAAAAGAACAAAAATAAAAATTGAAGTTAAATAATAATTTTCTCTTTTTTAACAACTTTTCTCTATGTCAACCTTACAAATTTATTTTGAACATTTTTATATATAAAAAAAATTGCTTAAGCTTTTCAAATAATTTACTTAGGAATTTCAAAAATTCTCAGGTAATAATTGCATACAAAGAATTATTATTTTTTCATTGAATTTTCTTTGGTAGAAAAATTTGAAGAAAGTTAGACTTTTTTTAATAATCTTCATAAATTCTCACATAATTTATATTATTATTTTTAGAGATATAAGTTTGATGAGTTAAATAG